AAAATTCATCTAAGTGTTTTATATAAAATTAATTTCACCTTCCCCAATAAGCTGTGAGATAGGTACTACTATTATTTCTATTTATAGATGCAGAAACTAAGGCAGAGATTAGCATCTTGGACAAGTCATGGGATTCAAACTTATACTCACTTCAGAACTTGTGCTGATGTGGCTCCAGCACAAGCTTACAAGGTGAAAATGTATCCCCTTATGCTCAGTTTAATACATTATTTTGCCTCCTTCCACAATACTATTATAATATTCATGAGGAGGTATAAAGTTTCCTAAGATTCTACAGGTTGGACTGTTCCTCAGAGTCACTACATTGTCCCGGCACATCAATGGGGGTAAACAATTCTCTCTCTCTCTTCCTTTTAAATTCTATAGCTATTTTCTAATAATCTCACACATTCTGGCTTATTCAGTTTAAAGGCTTAAAATTAAGGGTGGACCTGATGAAACCTTTACTTAATAATAGTCCTGTAAATTATAGAATTCTGAGTTTTCCTAACTTTGTTCTACAAATTCCTATAAATATAGTTTCCTAAAACAGTGGTGTCCTCAACACTCCCAGGTTATGTAAATGTGGGAAAAGTTAAAAACCAAAGCTTAACACACAATATAATAGATACAGTAACATCAGAGAACTAATGACGCTTCTTTATCACTTCTTAAAAGTTGTTTAAGCGGTACATTATTTGGCTATATAAATGTACTTTTCAGGGACTTCAAGAATTCATGAGTAAACAAGGATTCATTTAAAAATCATAAAACTCAAGAAAAACAACAACACACCTTATAAATTAGATGAATGCTTGCATTTGACAGATTTTAACACAGAAGCACTAACATATGTTTGTTGTGTTTGACACATCAAACATAAGTCACACAATACCATGGCAGAAACTAAACCTGGTTCTACTAATTTTCTCAACAAACGCCAACCTCTTCGGAAGGCTGTCCAATTTTCCCTCAGTATGACGGGATGTAGAAATCGTCTGAGGTCTGAAAGAAAATTCATACGATACGCTCGCCTTGGATGCAAGGGGAATAACTGCATGTTGCATGAGCACACTAGCTATTGATTTAGGGTAAACACAATGACTTGAAATTTTTTTAAAAAAAGGAAAGGCACTACCAACAATATTGAAAAACTACTCTCACCATTATTTTCTCTCTCAATGTGCCATTTAAATATTACTCATTAAAACCACTCATATAAATGACTCATTTACAAAGAAGTATTTCCATTCTTACCATCTGGTGTACTGAAAACACATGTACCAATGTATTTTAAAGGACTCACTTAAGCAGCACTTTTATAATCATTATAAAGTTATCATTCATTCTGCTTCAAATCTGATCATTCATGATAGAAAAATCTCATGTTACATTTATAAATTTAACAATACAATTCTGAAAATTGTATATTCTTTAAATCTCAAAATTAGATTAACTGTTAAGCAGATGGTAACATATTTTGGCACCAAAAAGTAAAGGAAACAAAAACTTAATGTTGCCACACATTGAAGCTTAAAATTAGCCTCATTTTAAATAATCATAATGAGTTTCCTACTACAGTCATCATTTTATGATTACAAAATAATTTCTCCTTTATAAAGTCATTATTTTTAAATCTGGCTAACTATATAGCTTTGAAGTGGGTATCATCTTAAAAGGCAATCAATGGAAGCAATATTCCATAAAATCTCATATTGGAATTTCTATATGTCTCATACCCCATTTATCTTCTTTGCATCCAAAATACATTCAAAAAAAATTTAATTAATTTTTAAGGATGGCTCCACATCTAAGAGCCTCAAAATTATAATAAGATTATTTTATCTTGATTCTTAAAAGGATACTAACCTAATTTTTAAATAGCTTTTTAATTACATTTGTAAGCCATAAAATATTGGTATTCTTATTATTCTACTTCATTAAAATAGTGTAACCAAGTTTAACTGGGCTTAGTCCTTTAGGGCTATGAAAAATCAAAGGCATGCATTCAGCACCTTCTGGAACCTGAAGCCTTCTCCCACTGCATCAGGCAGCTGGATAGAAAGTGAACCCAACACTCCTTTCACTCAGAACATAGACACCTTTATACCTGTCGCTCAAAGGAACGCTAACCCGAGTAAATGATGACACTCTTATGACAGGTTTCTTACTTCGATGAACATGTAGAAAAACTAATTTAAAAATCCAGGTTATCTTTCTCGAGCAAAACTCTAGACTATTTTTTATGTTTTACTCCCTTGACACGTTCCTCAGATCAAGGGGAAAAAAACATGAGAAAAGTGGGGCGCATTCCTTCTCCTATAAACCACCTCCTTCAGACTAATCCGCAACATACAGAATTTTATAGTAGGGTAAAATGCAACGGATCTTCAAGGGGTATTCCAATGTTTCACTGTACTTCTTATGGACATAAAGGGGCCTGTGTTGGAAATCAAGAAATGTATTTTCAAGCAAGCTGTAATCAGAGGTCACGAGAGACTCCTGCTTCTGACTAAATGGCGTAGCATTTCTCCACCTACTTCAAACAAACAACAGCAAAACAAAAACAAAACAAAAAAACCCACAGACAAAATACATGAAAGAATGGTTTATAATAAATTGTATATAAAACAACAAAAGACAGTGGTGGATGGAAAACTAGCAAGATAAACTCTACAATTGTCCCAGCTTGCTACTTTGAAGGACTTTTCAGGTAGCAGAAAAGGACAGAGGAACTAAGTGCAGCTTAGCAGACATCCTGACATGAATGGATTAAAACAGAGAGCCTGAGGAAGGCAACACAGCCAGATGTCACAGGGCAAGTTACCAGAGAAAAGAAAGCTACAACCCAGAGACCTGCAGAGGGCCCTTTAAGAAGTCAGCCGAGGAAAGATGGGCGAGCATGCATGTAAGAAAACACCTAGCAGTGGGGATGGGGTGGACTCATTTAAGAAGATGAAAGAGAACAGTGGATGTTCCCACCAGCGAGACCAGAAAAATTCCTAATTCAGGGGGCATTTGTTAAAGCACACCCGAAAGCCTTATCTTAGTATAAGAGAATAATTAGTGCTACTCTGAGCACTGCTCCATATCCATCTAACAAATCATAAGAGAAATACACTAAAGTGTCCAAGGTTTCCACATAGATGCATCCCAGACAAAGTTAAAGAAGAGTTATAGGAACACAAACACATCCAGTACCCAACCAAGTAAAATTTACAATGCCTGGCATCCAACATAAGATAGCAAGCATGCAGAGTCAGGAAAACCCACAATGTAATGGAAATAATCAAAACCAATGCAAAACTGACAGAGATTATAGAATTAGCAAAGGAGAACATCAACAGAATTATGAGAGTATATTCTATATGTTCAAAAAGTTAAGTAGATCATGAAAGATATAAAGAAAGCCCCAAACTGAAATTCTAGATATAAAAACTAAAATGTCTGAGATGAAAAATATACTACATGGTAACATAAAATTTGGGATTGCTATTGAAGGCATAGCAATTCAAAATTTCAGAGAGGAAGAAAGAGGGAGAGAGAGAAACATCAATGATGAGAGAATCATTGATTGGCTGCCTCCTGCATGCCCCTTACTGGAGATCAAGCCCAAAACCCAGGCATTTGCCCTTGACCGGAATCAAACCTGGGGTCCTTCAGTCCACAGGCTGACGCTCTATCTGCTGAGCCAAAACAGCTAAGGTGCTAACATAATCCTTAATAGTGAAAGATAATGCTTTCCCCCTACAATCAAGAACAAGATAGGATATGTCTTTTGATGCTTCAATGTCTGTGAATCTGGAGCAGAGTGGAGGAGATCAACAGGAGGGAGAAAAGAGATATCTATAATTCTTTCAATAACCAAGTTTTTTTTTTTAAAGATACACATTTTTTTAAAATGGCAGGATAGCCGAAACCGGTTTGGTTCAGTGTAGAGTGTTGGCCTGCGACTGAAAGGTCCCAGGTTCGATTCCGGTCAAGGGCACGTACCTTGGTTTCGGGCACATCCCCAGTGGGGGGTGTGCAAGAGGCAGCCAATCTATGATTCTCTCACCACTTCTATTCAGAATTATACTGGCATTCCTAGCCCATACAACTAGTCAAGAAAAAGAAATATAATCAGTAAAACAGAAATATAATCAGTAAATTAGTATAATTTTTCAAATCAGTGAAAAATTAATAGAAAAAAACAATGAGAGAAAAAAAACAATGAGAAAAGGGAAGCAACGAGAAAACGGATAACATGAAATCACACAGGGGAACAAAATTACCACTATTATATCTATGTAATTAAAGATATCAGCTTCCTATTTTAAAGCCATCTAAACAAAGAACTGATTGATAAGATACTAGTGAGGAGGTAATTTTTTTTTTTTTTTTAAACTGCTTTTGCTGGCTTTGACAAACATTCTTCGGGTAGCATTAACACTTTTCTGAAGTGGATGGAAAAACTCCAAAAATCTAGTGTAAGTGTGAAAAACATCCTTCACATTTCTTCTTGAAATTCCACAATCTAATGTTTATTACATTAATGTCAAGACAAAAATAAAAAGGTAAGGTAGCTTGAAAAGCTTTCAAATTATGAAATGCAGAATCTCAAAGCTAAAAGCAGCCTCTTCCTCTCAGAAGGAAGGGTGTATGTGCAAACTTTATAAACTTGGGTGGGCAACGGAAAAGCTAGCGTCAGATCTGTGGCTTCAAGAAGGAACTTCAGTCTCCCTGGATCTGAGTTTTCTGTTCCTGAAAAATTAAGGCATTAGATCTCTAGATTCTATTAATCATCTTAGAGAGCCTAGGATTCTATGATTATAAACCAAATCATAAGCTAAAGGACATAAAAAATGGAGCAAATATATTTTTTACTCAAAAAATTTTAATTTTTTTAACTAAAACGAAGGCCCTGGCTAATCTGAATACCAATGTCAGTTGTCTTCTGCACTTGCGCACAATAAGCTTAACTGTAGGAGAATGATTGCGTATGATTTCCATCTCTGTACCTTGTTTGAGCGTAAAGACACTCGGCCTCCGCAACGCGCGCAGAACTTGGTTTGGCAATATGAACAGTTATGGCCACATCCGTCCGCGAACTTGGTTTTGTGGCAGATGCCACAGGTGGGAGCGTCCCCCTTCTGTTCCTGCTGCTGCTGCGATTCTTCTCCCATCTTCTTCACCTGCTCCTTATACATTTCGAACTGCTGATGAAGCTTTCTGCAAAGAAAGCAAGTGAGGAAAAAATCAGTTTCCTGATGGTCTCAAAACGAAAACTACCACTACAATCTGTGGACAGGATTTCATATAAAAAAAAAAAAAAAATCCATAGAGTTCTAGCTGGTTTGGCTTAGTGGATAGAGCAATGGGCCTGCAGACTGAAAGGTCCCAGGTTCGATTCCGCTCAAGAGCACATGCCCAGGTTGCGGGCTCGATCCCCAGTAGGGAGCATGCAGGAGGCAGCCGATCAATGATTTTCTCTCATCATTGACGTTTCTCTCTCTCTCTCTCTCTCTCTCTTCCTCTCCCTTCCTCTCTGAAAGCAATAAAAATAAATTTTTAAAAATCCATAGAGTAAGTTCAATTTTCTGATAATGGAATAACATCTTACAGGGCATATCGTATCATAAGGGTTGCAACTAATTCTGCCTTCTGATATACATATTAATGTAAGGCCCAATTAATTCAATATATGCCTATGGAAATATTTCTTCTATTATAATTATAAAATTTCTACCTACTATTTGCAATATATTTTCAACCATGCACTCTAAAATATTTACAGCATTATTTTGCAAAGCTTAATTTCAAAATAAAGGCAGGTAATTGGATTTACACAGTGAAACCAAAACCTATGAAGTTCAAGTCATTCAGACAAGATCTGAATTGGAGTGATCCTAAGACTGCAGACAGCAGGGAATGCACTGGATGAATGGTCTCACTAATTGTTTAAATCTGTTCAGCCGTCTGGACATTAGTTGGCTATAAAAACACTATGAGATATTAGGATCCTAAAAAAATAAGGTGGGGCAAATAAAAGGCCACGTTTTACTTTAAAAAAAAAAAAAAAAAAAAAAAGGAAAGAATAAGAAAAAATATTTCTAGCCGAAACCGGTTTGGCTCAGTGGTGGAGCGTCAGTCTGCGGACTGAAGGGTCCCAGGTTCAATTCCGGTCAGGGGCATGTACATTGGTTGCAGGCATAACCCCGGTGGGGCATGTGCAGGAGGCAGCTGGTCAATGTTCCTCTCTCATCGATGTTTCTAGCTCTCTATCTCTCTCCCTTCCTCTCTGTAAAAAATCAATAAAATATATTTTAAAAATATATATTTCTAGGAAACGGTATTATTTACTCCAGTAAAAAATAAATAGCGATAGCCTTCCTTGTGTGACTCAGTGCTTGAGCGTCGACCTATGAACCAGGCAGTCACAGTTCAATTTCCAGTCAGGGCACATGCCCAGGGGGCTGGAGGTGGGGCTGGTATGATCCCCAGTGGGGTAGCTGACCAATGAGTCTCTCTCATCATTGATGTTTCTCTCTCTCTCTTCCTCTCCCTTCCTCTCTGAAATCAATAAAAATATATTTTAAAAATAACAAATAAATAGGGATATAACTTTCACTTCCATTGTTTTTATAAGGAAAATTGAAAATGTGTTAAAACTACCATTAGTTCCGCTTAGGGTTTACAAAACTATAAATAACGTCGCTCCCATTCTAAAATTAACCAGAGGCTGCAAAATCACCACTTTCCGTGAGCCCATCAGGGGACTGAGAAGCAAACACAGGAGTTTAAATCCAAAGAGTAACAAGGGCACCTTTCACCTTTCACCTCTGGCACAGCACAGGAGTGAAAGGTAGCCACCGGCTAGGCAATCTGGAACAGTCAGGGGTAAGTTCACACTCACAGGCGCTTTGCCACCGGCTCCCGCTGCTTACTCATGAGTGACACTGCGAGCAAAGCATATTACCCAAGAGTCCTTTAGAGGGTGCACGCAGGTGAGTGTAGAAGAGAGGACTAGTGGCTTCTGGGCGCTCCCACACCCATCCTCATTAAGCACAAGGCCACAGTAACCCACTGCTAACGGAATCTGAAGACCGCGGTGCCCTGAAGGTCATGATTAGGACAACAGCGCCCAAACCTATGTGAACTCCTGGCTTGCCTGGTGATTTAACGCCCCCCATGTATGGTCTGACAGAAAAGGCATGCCCACGTTAAAGCATAGACACAATTCAAACCCATGACATGCTGTAAGAATTTCAACCTTCTTTGTATAGAGATTCCATTTTCCCAGGACCATTAAATGGTCCATCCTTTCTTCTTCTGATTCATGATGGCAATCTGTCACATACTAAGCTTCCACATGTGCCGAGGTCTACATATGGGCCCAGTATTCCATTTCACTGTTTTTGTGTTTGTTCCTACCCCAGAACAACACTGGCAGAGCCGAACTCCAAACGCAATGAAAGGTCTGAAAGATCTTAGTATGTCAACTTGAATATATAACCTTCCAATGACGTAAATCAGAAGTCAGCTAGCATTTTCTGTAAAGGTGCAGAAATAGATATTTTCGGCCCTGTGGACACAGGGTCTCTGTCACAACTACTCAAACCCACTGCTAGTGGGTTGTGAGGGCAGTCATAGAAAACAGGCAAACAAATGAGCTTGGCGGTATTCCAATAAACCTTTATTTATAGGAAAAGGCAGCAGGCAGGATTTGAACCACAAGCCATATTCTGCAAATCAATCCTTGGTATAAATAAAAGAGTCAAAGACATACTTAATTTAAAACTTTCATTACAAATGAATGTTTAAAAGGCATACCAGAAGAAGAAAAAAACAAAAAAATTTAAAATAAAAAACACACAGCAATAATTTGGAAAAACGGCTTTATCCCCTTTTTTATTTCTACATCAATGTCTCCATCATCACTAAAGCAACTCATTGAACTCAGTGTTTTCCAAAATAAATTTTCTTTACTTTTGAGTTCTTGGAGAAAAGTAAACTTTCAATCCATTAAGTCGTGGTAATCCTGCTGTCCCAGCAATTTTATACCCAGCCACATGAGTTTCTGTTGCTGTTATTTCTCATTTATCTGCTAGGTAGGTGGTTTCATGATCTCCATAAACTAATAATACACATTACTACTTTTGTACAATAATCTTTAAAGGTTTGCTTACTACAACTTCCAGCACCAACCATTGAGAATTTCTAAATTGATGCTAAATTTCTTTATCTCCCTTTTCACAGGTTCCATCAGGTAAGGCATAAGATACACATTCCCAGTGGAGTTCTAAAGCCAGATAATATCAAACCCTACATATACTAAGTTTTTGTCAATACATATTTTTATAAAGTTTAATTTATAAGCCAGACATAGTAAGAGGTTAAGAACAATAACTAATAATAAAACAATCATAGCACACCGCAGTAAAAGTTATATGAATACCCTCCCCCTCTCCTCCAGTAATTGTTATATTTTTTAGTCAAAACCTATTCCTGAATCTGTGTTACCACGCCTTACGTACAGTAAGTGGCTTGGTGTCACTCATCTCGGGCGACCCCTCACTAGTCTTCCCATAGGTCAATGCTTTCTGATACAACATGGGAAGATATATATATATATTAATTTCAGAGAGGAAGGGAGAGGGAAAAAGAGATAAAACATCAATGAAGAAAGAGAATCATTGACCGGCTGCCTCCTGCATCCCTCCCTCCCCCTTACTGGGTATTAAACCTGGCAACATATTTTCTGTTCGTGTCTTCCACCCACAGATTTGATGAGTTTTGTGTCTTAACTAGTAAACATTTATCACACAGTGTAGCCAATAACTTTTTCAGTTTGAAGTGCAACAGCAAAGCCAACATAAATTTCTTTTTCCTTCTTCACAAGTTAACAGATTTGTTCTTACCACAAATCTTAGCAACCTCAAGATATGATTTTTTTTTGCTTTCCTTACTAAATCTAGAACTTCCACACTTTCACTTTAAAGAAGCACTTTTTTGGCTTCTCTTTAGCAATCCAAATTGCCAACATATACTTTTTTTCTTTAACATGCTTTTTAAAATTGATCTTGAGAAAGAGAGTTAGGGAGAGGGATAGACAGAAACATCGATGAGAGAAAAGGATCATGGATCACCTGCCTCCCGCAAACCCTCTCTAGGGGTCAAGCCCGCAACCTAAGTGTGTGCCCTGACCGGAAATCGAGCCAGGTTCCTCTTGGTTCATAGGGCGATGCTTGACCACTGTACCACACTGCTGGGCCAGCATCAATACTCTTGAACTTTGTTAAGTAAATAAAGGTTAACTTGAACACCGGCACTGATCTTCTGATAACTAAGATGGTAACCACTTTGGTTAAATGGGTGGGTAACATACACAGCGTGGGTACACTGGACAGAAATGACTCACATCCTCTAAAGTGAAAGCTCTTTGGAGAGAAGCAGCTAACCAATTACTCCGTGTCAAGCCGATGACAAACCAAAGGAGACAGTTTCCACCTAAGAACAGAAGCATGCTTTCCGGTATCTGCTTCCTTCTCCTTTTAAAAATTATTGTTTACGGTTCCTCTTTTTTTATTTTATTTTTTTTTTACTGTACTCTGACATAGCTGATGATCAACTAATGGTTTCTCAGTATGCCCTAAGTCTATTTCCATTGTTCTCACGTTTTTCATCTATTCGTCTTTCACTGTTACCTAAGAGAATACAGTGTCTCCCTGAAATTCCTGACTACATTTACTATGTTCCCTGAAAAAAAAAAAAAAAATACAACAAATGTCTTGCCTTCTGAAATACACTTATGTATTCAAATGCTCTTTATATTATTAAACCTAATCTTCCGTCTTATAAAATTAGACTTGGATGCCAAGGGGTTACAACAGTTTGAGTAGAAACGTCGGTACCGGGAGTTAGGGTTAATACTGGAGATATCCTTGCTAGAGTAGCATTCTTATGGCAAATGATCATCTTCTGGCATCCTGAAATTTCCATCTCCTTGCAATAAGAGAGAACCAAATGTGAAATAACTGTAATAGGTGTTACTACTGCTCGTGATTCACAGTCGCCACTCTTCGTGAGCACATAGAGGAACTTTTTAGAGGTCCTTGCAGTTAGTTAAGAGCCTTGTGACAAGGCTTGGGCAATGATCTGTGAGCAAAAGTGGCTCACGTCACTTCCTGCTTTATACAATTAAGAATAAGGGTGAGTACTCCATTCTCTCT